TCCTCCCCCTTTTTCTCGTACTATACTGTCCTGTTCTCTGTTTCAGAGAATGTCTTATTTGTAGAATTCCCCTTTGAGAATTAAGCTGAGCTCTTCTGGGAGCTTTTTGTGGTTGGCATTAAGGCTTTAGGGAGTGCAGGGGGAGACACTTGAGAGGACTCCAGCCCCGTGGTCTGGCGTGGTGGATTCGCTCGGCTGTCAGAGCGCGTGGCCATGCACCTCCCCAAGGGAGAACGCGGACAGCACAGAGAGAAAGGGGCACAACTGAGATTCATTTCTCTTCTTCAGTATGGTTTTTCTCTTTCTCTTTAAAAAACAAACAAACAAAACAAAACAAAACAAAACCATCACACATCTTTCCTTTTTTTCTGCAAAGGTTTATTCCACAGAGGGGCTCAGTCCTTCTCGGCAGCTGCCTTCCTCACAGCTGCCAGCACATCACTCAGCCTCTCCCTCTTCCTTTTGGCGCGGATGTGCCGCCCCAACCTCTTTTTTTATTTGTTTGTTTGTTTCTTTTTTTTTTTAAATCTAGGGAAGGGTCTACAGGGTGTTCAGGGTCTCACTACTAGATCGGACTTGTAGTGATCCGCCTATTTACAGCCTCCCAGGAGCTGGGATTACAGGAGCGCGCCACCACGCCCAGTCTCAGTTGCTCTCTCAGCGCACCCCGGGGACGGGGCCGTCACACCAGGCGGGGGATCGAGCCCCGGCCCCTGCCCCCCACCCTCTTCTTGATGAACTCGAAGGCGCGTTTGTCCTCGGAGACCTCGAACAGCTCCATGGCACGCCACTCCCTTGGAGGGGGCAAAGCCGCACACCTCCTGGATCATGTCCTGCACGCACTTGGCGTGCGACGGTGGCTGTGCCTCAGTTTGCTCGCATTCTTAGTCACCTTGTGACCCTTGTTGAGGCCCACGGCCATGGGATAGCGTTGGGCCACGGCTCCTTTTCTCAATGGTTGCTGCAGCATTGAGAAGCCATAAGTCTTTATTTTTTATTAGCCCCAGTCTGCAAGGCCTCCTAATCGCATTCATCTTGGGGAACTGGTGCAGGCCCACAGTACTTGGTGGTCCTTTTTCCTTCTCCATCACATGCCCTGTCTCCCTCCTCCTCCAGTCCCCAAACACCCTTCCTGTCTCCACAGCGTCTCTCTAACGGCTTTCTGTCATCTATTTTTTTATTTTGCTCTTTAAATCATTTACACTTTGAGGTTCTCTCTAGAAGAAACCATGTGATACTTAACCTTCAGTATCTGACTTATTTCGCTTAGCATTGTGATCTCAAAGGACACACATTTTCCTTCAAATGGCTCAAGTTTTTCCTTCCCGGTGACAAAATAGCACTCCGTTGTGTACTCAGTACCACACTGCTGTATCTAGTACCTTTAATGGGCACAGGGGCAGCCTCCAAGGCTCAGCTAGCTGTAGGAGCTGCGGGGCAACGCACACGGCTATGCAGAAATTGCTGCCAACAGGATGCATGAACTCTTTGAGGAAGATGCCTAGAAGGGGATCAGCTGGATCGGATGGAGTATTTTTCTTTCCTTCTGTGCCTGGAAAGCCCTCTCTCACTTCAGGCCAGCTCCCAAGTCCTCTGCAGAGTGCACCAGGGTAACACAGAGCTCTTCCCTGCCGGGGGTTCTTCTGATTCCCCTGCTGGTTGGGCTGCACCCTCCCATTTCCCTCTCTGGGGCTCCAGAGTTCCAGGCCTCTACAGAAGGTCCACAGCACAGCCCCGGGAGAAGCAGGGCGCCCTCCTGCCAGCTCCTCCCAAGCCCATTCCGGTCTCACCCGCTTGCCTTCTTCACGCCCGCAGAGCAACGACGCCTCAGGGAACACTTGGAACTGGCTGTACTTCATCCCCCTCATCATCATTGGCTCCTTTTTTATGCTGAACCTCGTGCTGGGTGTGCTATCAGGGTAAGTCTCGGCTGTGCCCCCCTCCTGCCCGTGCCCCCTCACCAGCTTCCTCCCAGGAAGGGGCCATCAGAGCTTTCTCTACACAGATCAGGTAAATATCAGGCCTCTTCCCTTGCTGTGGCTCAGCCAGACTGTCCTCAGCATGCCATGGACAGATGCATAGATTGTGTACTGCTAGGGAAGCCAGTGAGGGGACTCCTAGGGGCTTTACTGCAATTTACATTTTTTAACCAAAAAAAATATAGTTTGAGTTTCCTCCTCTCCATAGTATATAAATAAAAACATATTTTTCTGACACAAATCGTTCCCAAATCCCACAGTTATTTTTGGCTTCATTGTAAATGGGCTTTCTAGGGTTGGGGATATATAGCTTGGTGGTAAAGGAATTGCTTACTATGCCCAGAACCCTGGGTTCAATCCCTGTCATCACAAATGAAAACTACATAAGCTTTGTATTTCTTACCATAAGAAGTCTGGGGACGTGTATGTGTGGTGGCTCCACAGTGTCATTCACAGCCTCAGATTCTTCCAGCTTTCCACTCAGACATCTTTTCAGGGGCTCCCCACCTCAGAGGGACCTCCTGGCCTCAAGATGGCTGCCTCATGCCCACAAGATAACATCCCATGTTCTGAACAGGGAGAGGAAGAGGAAAAGCGGAAGAGGCGGGGCCTACAAAAAGGAAGTGAGGTTGCCGTAGAAATTTTAAGCTGATGTCCCATGGTCTCATTATCCTAACCTAAAGAAGGACTGAAAATATTTTTTTGGCTGGGAGTCTGGAGAGATGGAAAATGGAATGTGTGGTCATCAACGGCTGGCGTGGCGCAGTTTTGTGCGCTTTTCCTCTAACAGCTTGCAGATATTGGGAAGTATGAAGTATGAGCCCATTTACAATGAAGCCAAAAATAACTGTGGGATTTGGGAACGATTTGTGTCAGAAAAATATGTTTTTACTTATATACTATGGAGAGGAAGAAACTCAAACAGAAACCCTTCCTTCTAGAACTCTCTTCTCCTCTCAGAACACATGCCCTCCAGGGAACCCCCAAATACACACACACACACACACACACACACACGGGAGGCTCCTTACAAATTCCAAAGCAGTGGACTCTGTCTTCCTTATGCTTCTCCAGAGAGTTTGCCAAAGAAAGAGAACGCGTAGAAAACCGACGGGCTTTTCTGAAGCTGAGACGGCAACAGCAGATAGAACGCGAGCTCAATGGGTACATGGAATGGATCTCAAAAGCAGGTGAGTCCTTTCATCCTGGGGCCTCGGGGCAGAAATCCTAGGCCACGAGGCACACAGCCACACGGGCCATCCAGATAAGCCTGTGGGAAGGGTCCCGATGGCATGAGAAAGAGAACCGAACTCAGTAGTCCCAGATTATAGCCACAAGAATCCAAAATATAGGATGTTAATACTCTGATGTTAAGCCAGGATGGGACCTTGTGTGGTGGTTGGGTCTAAAAGGAGACATTGGTCTCCACCCCAGCTCTGACACTTCCTGTTGACATACACGACCTCTCTGCCTCTGTCTGTTTAGCTGTTAGGCGAAGATGACATTAATACACTTGTCCCTTGCTAGACGTGGTGGTGTAGACTTATAATCCCAGAACTTGGAAGGCTGAGGCAGGAGGATTGCTGCAAGTTCAAAGCCTGAGCTACCTGAGCTACATAGTGAGTTCAAAGCTAGCCTGAACTACCTAACATGATTGTGTCTTCAAAAAAAAACAAAACAAAACAAAACAACAACCCTTGGTATCATGGGTAATGGGTTCCAGGACCATCTTAGATACTGTACCAGATCCTTTGGGTATTAAAGTCCCTCATAGTAAAAGAAGGAGTATTAACATGAAGCCTGTGCATCTCCCCCCCAAAAACTGAAGTTATCTCTAAATGTCTTGTAACACCTAATACAGTGTAAGTGCTGTGTTGCTCTACTGACTTGTGGTTAGAGTCATGACCAAAAATGTTTGCACATGTTCAATGCAAATGCTTTTTTTTTTTTTCAAATATTGTCAGTCCACGGTCGGTTCCATACATGGATATAAAGCCTGTGAGGATGAATGGCTGAGAGTCCTACCTCACACAGTAAGATAATCCAGGCCAGCTCACTTCGGAAAGCAATCCCTGACTCACAGCAGGCTTATACTTAGTTGTTCATCTGCCCAGCAGACACTTACAGGGCACCTGCTGTGCGCCAGATGCTGTTCCAGCTCCTGGGAATATGGTAACAAACAAAATAACCACATCCCTGCCCACAGGGCTCTGATATTCTTGAGAGAGGCAAAACAAATAAATACATTTCATGTTGTGTCTGCAAATGCCAAGAAGAAAAATAAAGAAAAGTAGAGTAAGTCCCAGTCTACAAACAAGTTCCATTCTGGGAGAACTTTCATTAATTCGGATTCATTCAATGAAGTGAGTCTTACAGCTGGGGAGCTGGTGCAGAGGTATCAGTACCTGCCTTGCAAGTGCAAGGTCCTGATTTCAATCCCCAGTACTAAAAAAAAAAAAAAAAAAGAATCTTATACACCTTTGAAGCAAATATACAATGAAAATTTAAAACACACACACACACACACACACACACGAGAGAGAATACTACAGATAAACTATTTTTACTTTTCCAATTACCTAAAAATGATAAGGTAGACATATGAGCTACTTCCTCAATTTGCCCCCTTCTACAAATGTTCAAAATGTGTGGTCCATTCATATTTGTGAAAGTTCACATTGCAAATGTACATCAGTCAAGGACTGAGGGTAGGAACCACAGAGGGTAGGAACCACTGAGGGTAGGAACCACAGAGGGTAGGAACCAC